CGTACAGGATGGACACATCTGAGCCATTGTCACAATCACCAAAAAGGCCAGTGGTGTGGCTGCCAATGCAGGGATCCTGCCTAGGGCAACCCTCGTGAGCTTCCCGTGCTGAACCATCAAGGACCCGCACAAATGGATCCTTTATTTCTCAGTTTTCCAACAGTAAAATGTGGAATAATAGCCCCTTAGTCATAATAACTCCATATTGCAAGGCTAAATTAACTACTGCCATGTATTCTGTCACTGCTGTAACATGGATCATAGGAATAAAAGCTATATATAGCCACATAACCAATACAGGTAAATATATCTATAAATAAAACCTCTAAGTACTGCTGCAACACAAATAATAAATAAAAGCCAAAAAGACTTAGTCATACACGCAGGTGGATTTCCAATTATGGAGGAAGCACTTTTACAGAGAGCAGAGTGGAGCACATTAAGTGGGATGGCAAAGAGAAAGGTAATAAATCATTCTACAAATAAATTATTCTGAAAAATGGCCATTGCGGGCAGGGGTATGTTGTTAAACTTCTGAAATGCAGTTTTTTTCTAGCAAATTGAATATACAGATAGCTAAGAAGTATATCTGAGCATCCTCCTACACGCATAAAAGCCACCTTTTCCTGGGGGGAAAAAAAAAAGAAATGGAGTAGCCTGCTCAATTTAAACACGGACACAAGTAGTTCTGTGAGCTGTGGAGTTAATGAGGCATTTGTGGAGAACAGTTTACTATCTTGCCAAGAATTTATAGCACTATAAATCCTCGTGCTGTATTTTGCTTTGAAATCACCTCCCCGCACAGCCGAGCCCCCGCACACGTGCAGGGGACACCTGCCAAACCTCCCTGCAGCCCACCCAGGGCACACACGTGTGGGAAGGGAAGCCCAGAGAGGAGCAGGAGGCAGGATCTGCGCTGGCTGTGGAGTCCTGGTGGACAGGGAGTCGTGTGTGTGTGTTGTGGTGCTCCATGGCCCGGTGCAGACGTGCCCTCCCACCGCTTTTGTCTTTGCTGCAGCTCCTGGGAGGCAGCCGAGGGGTCTGACAGCTGTGTTCCCCCTCTCTGCCTGTTCTCCCCATCCAACTGTCTTCCAAATGGCCCAAAGGCTTCCTGCTTTCCCCAAACTAGGCTCTGGGATGCCTGCTGGCCCACGGTTTTGCTACTTAGAAGAGAAGGAGGAGGCGGCAGAGGGGCATTTTCTTTTCCAGCACGGCAGATGGGACTTTGTCCTTCAGCAAAGCAACCTCAGATCCTGCTTTCAGTCAGGAAATGGTGGCAAGAAGAGGAAAGGGCAAATACCACAAAAATATTGTTACAATAAGAGCATAATTTGAGAGGTTTATATTAAAATCTCTTTATACCAAAATATGATGTAGGTACAGTCATGCTGATATCCTATGACTGCCCAGGAGCTCCAGGGCATTCTCTCTACAGAACAGCAACAGCAATTCTCTGAAGGCAAAGCACTCCTAGTGTGTATACAGCATATGCCAGCAAAATTCAGCTTATGCCAGCAAAATTCTGCTTCTGCCAACGTAACTTGCTCCAGATCATCCAAATGAAGCTCCGAGCTCCATTTTGCTAAGCGGGGAGCAAGAGCTGTACTCATGACATCCCTGCATGGACTCTCTCAGCAGTGGAGCTCCATCAGTCATGTCCTCACACACGGGACTGGCACTGAAAGGCTGCCAGGGAGGAGTGCAGACCCAGCACTCGCTCCTGCAGCTCACCATTTCCTAGGCTTACACCTTTCAGTCCTTTTTAATATCTCGTTTCCTGCTTCAAATAAATCACGTGGTAGATATCTAAACAATCCTTTAGTATCTGTTATGTATTTATTTACTTAGATACTTTTTCCAATGCAGATATGGCTTCCATTACAGTCAACAGCATTTCAAAATCACTTTAAAAATCTGCTGGGTAAACAACAGCCTAAAAAAGAGAGTGCTGACACGCAGCTGCCCAAATGAAAATTTTGTACCAAACTTACATTTAATCCTATCTATACTTGAAAGTCCTGTATTTAGATTATAGTGCTTGATGCCCTATTTTTTTCTGCTGAGTTGCATTTAGCATTTCATTCTTCCTGCTAGATACCACTTGAGATGACTGTATCCACATCCTGATCCCCTACATGCTTCCGAGCAGAAGCCACTGTTCAGAAACTCATAACATTACATTTCATGCCCCTGCCCTTCCCCTCACTTTGCAGATGCAGAGGAATAGCCTACACTACACCAGTAATCTCATTTACTACCATAATCTTGCCACTTTAACCCAGTTTGCAGAAAGCTGTCATTATCCTCCATCTCACAAACTTCATACATTTCAGTAGAAAAAAAAACAACTTTACTGAGTTGTAACAATGCCACACACACACACAAAAAAAAAAGAAATAGGAAATGCTTATTGATAAACATCAGCAATGAAATTTCCCCCTGACACTACAGTTCTAGTAGCTAAGGTGTTAGTTACTATTATTGATTCGTGATCACCACTCCAGGAACAATCAAGAATACTGAGCATGAAGCAAGAATAGATTTTTCCTCCATTGAGCCAGAAAAAGAAACCTTGCAAAACAAATTTAATTTGGGTAGAGGAGTGATGATTAACATGCAATCCAGCACTAAGCTTCGTGGCAGTTTAAGACCAAAGGTCAGCTTGCTTTTTGTTCACTTTCATAATTCAGTATTTCTAATTGCTTCTATCCAAGCTTGCTGCCTGTTCTCAAAAGGTGAAACCACTGTAGTCCTCTGCTTTAGGAACTTGCCATTGCTCAGCTTCTCCTTCCTTTAGAAACTTACCACTGCTCAGCTGCTTCCTCCATAAATTACAAATAATCAGAGATACCAAATCACAAAACTGCAGTGGCTGCAAACTTGCAAAGTGAAGACATTTCTAAAGAAAAATGCTGGGCCTCTTCCTGTACCAAAACCAAGGCAAACCCCAAATGCTGGTCAACATTCCTGTGCTATTCCAATAACAACAAGCCTCTCCTCGAAACAAAGCTGCTCCTTGCAAGAAAAGTTGCAATGTCAGGGCAAGAACTGTTTCAGGATAGAGAAAACAATAAATGTTAATTGATTAAATCAATCAGTAAATGTAAAATAAAATAAATAAATAATAAAATAGAAACGTGCAGGAGCACCAGTTTGCAGCCAACTGTTCTAACCCACACTGCTCTCCAGCACCTGTTGCTGTTGCTTCACTATTCAGCCTAAATACATTAAACGTTATTTCAAGCTTCTTCCTTCACTTTTTTGATTCTTTTCTTCCTATGGCTCCTGCCAGTGACAGTAAAAGATAGTCCTTCACAAAATGATAGACCATTGTAATATTGAAACTTTTATCTTTCATATGATTATCCTTTATACAGTTATTTTCCATGATTCTAAGAAGTATCTACTGGGATAGCAACAAGTATCTTTTCAATAAAGCATGAACAACACCTTCAATAAAGGAAATTACCCAGCACGAATACAGAATGGAGATTCAAAATCAAATTCCCCACATGGCTACCTCAGTGTAACAGCTGAAGATAGTGCTGTTTCTCCAGAAAAAGTGACAGGACAATTTGGTTCCCAAAGTGCTTGGATGTGCTTTCCATTTGTTAGTGGATACAGCAGGTGATGGTTACGCCCTGTCCAGGGTTTAGGAAGAGACTTCCTGGGTATTAAAAAGCCTCACGTATTCCAACACAACCTTGACTTACAAACATCTTCGGGTGCAGTTTGGCTGTTGCCCTTATCCATACTGTGTCCTTTCCTGATTGTTAGAGACTCGTATCCTGAGCTTGTGAAGGGGAATCAGAGGGGAAAAAACCAGGCTACCACAGCCTCTATGTGCAGAAAGCAGAAAAGAAATCCACATTGCCAATGCGAGCAATAATGCTTTACATCCTCTTCTCCAAAGTTTTGGGAAGGCTTTGCCGTTTTCTTCACATTTTAACTTCATCAACATCATCTCTCTCTCCTGACACACCGTGACTGGAGTAAAATCTTCTCTCTCGTGGCTGTTTAATGGACTGCACAAAACGCGGTGTGCAGCAAACAAACAGCACCCCTTCCCCTCCTTTCACTGGGTCAGTGCACTCACTTCATATTTAGATTACTGTGAACATAAGCATTAAACATACATATACACCTGGACCTGGAGGCAACAGCCTGCCAGCTCCCCTCTGCCTGAGGTACCGGCACCGCACCAGCACCGCCGGGAGCCCCCGCACCCCGCCGGCGCTTCTTCACATAAACCTTGGGGCTTCTAAGGACAGAAGGTGCGAGCAGCTTGGGGGAGAACGACAAGAGGTGGCCAATTCCTCTGCGCTCAGCGTCACAGGAGGAAAAAACCCTCCCTTCACAGGGCGGGAGCCGAGCCCCACGGGCTCCGGGAGGGAGGGGAGGGTCTGGACAAGTCTCTCCCCGCATCCTGGTGGCTCTGGGAGGGAGAGGAAGGTCTGGACAAGTCTCCCGCATCCCGGGGGCTCCGGGAGGGAGGGGAAGGTCTGGACAAGTCTCTCCCCGCATCCTGGCAGCTCTGGGAGGGAGAGGAAGGTCTGGACAAGTCTCCCGCATCCCGGGGGCTCCGGGAGGGAGGGGAAGGTCTGGACAAGTCTCCCGCATCCCGGGGACTCTGGGAGGGACGGGAAGGTCTGGACAAGTCTCTCCTCGCATCCCGGGAGCTCTGGGAGGGAGAGGAAGGTCTCCCCCTGCCCCTCGAAGGCCTTAGGATGGAAGGGCCAGTCTCCCCCGGCACCTCGAAGGAACTGGGATGGAGGGGAAAGTTTCCCCGTGACCCCGCATCCCGGGGGCACCGGGAGGGAGGTGCGGGTCTCCCCCCGCCCCCGCTGGCACCTCCCTTGGCCCCGGAGCCCCCCCACATCCCCCGCCCAGCGGCCGCCCCCTCCCGCCTCCCGCAGCGCCGCCCCCCGCCCGCCCGGCCCCAATCCCTCCATCCCTCCATCCCTCCCTCCCTGCCGGCCCCCCGCCCCTGCCGGCCGTACCTGAGCGCCGGAGCCGATGTCGGGGGCTCTGCGGGCTCCCCCCGCCCTGCCCGTGCCCTGCAGGTTGACGGGCGCGCTCTGCGGGGGCTCCGCGCCCATCGCCCCGTGCAGGGTGGCCGTGACCACGGCGATGGGCGCCCGGGCGGGCAGCGCGGGCACGGGCAGGCTGTGCCCGGCCAGGGGCAGGCTGTGCCCGGCCAGGGGCAGGCTGTGCCCGGCCAGGGGCAGGCTGTGCCCGGCCAGGGGCACGCTGTGCCCGGGGCTGCCGCCGGGGCTGCCGCCGCCGCCCGGAGCCTTCAGGAGCGCCGGGACCACGCCGGGCTTGGCGCTGCCGCTGGAGCCGCTGCCCACCAGCACCGCCAGCTTCTGCCGGGAGAGACACAAGGGAGAGGGAGAGAGAGAGAGATTGAGAGAGAGAGAGAGAGAGAGAGAGAGAGAAGCGGCACCGTCACCGCAGGGTTGCACCGGACCCGGCCCCCCGGCCCCCCGCAGCACGGATATTTGGGGTTATTTCCCTTTGGCTTTGGTTGGTTTTACGGTTTTCCTCTCGGCAGGGGAAGGGCTGGGCTGGGCTCGGCTCCCTCGGCGCTCGGGGACTCGCGGGGGCACTCGGGGCTTCCAAACTGCTTCTTTTTCCCCTTTCGGTTTTTTTTTTTTTCCTTTGGTTTATACCCCAGTCCTGGTATAAATGACCCTGGCATAGGTCTAGATAATACCGCAGCTTCAATTAATAATAAGAGGCTTAAAGAACGTTATTTTCCACTTTCTCTTCCATTGGCCTGGGAACCAGCTCCACGTGCCCGCCGCACCCCAGCGCTTGGCGACTTCGTGTGTTCCCTCACCCTGACTGACTTTGGAGTCGGTTTGTTGCTTTCCCTTTAACTTTTTCTTTCTCTCACAAACTTCTACTATTTTTGGTGGATTTTTTTACAATGTGATGGTATTATTATTATTATAATTATTATATTACACTTATACTTATTATTATTATTATTACTATTACTATTATTATTATCCAAGCTATCTTTTTTCCATAGCACCGTTTTAACTCGCAGCTCTCTGTTTTTATTAACAATTCCTCTTTTACACTACTACAGAGTGGCTATTCTGTCATCTGTAATAGCACATTGCTTTTGACTTTATTATCAGAGGAACCTGTATTTGAGATTTCTATAGGCACTGCGAAGTTGCCCTCTCATAAATGCCAGTGTCTGCATAAAATGCTCACTTTTGGAAAGGAAAGAGAAAACTTTTATAAGTTGTTGCACTTTAAATGATCTCGGGAGCTTTTCTTATTAATGCCATTTAAGCAAGTTAGTTATATGTGGGAGGGGGAGGTAATGCCGGTTCAAGCCCCTTTTGATACCTTTAATTATTAAACATCTCATTTTTACAAGACCTGACATCTAAGGTACTTAATCCTGCAAAGATTTCTGCCTCTGTTTAACTGACTGAGCCTCTGGGCTCCAGTGCAATCATATCCAATGTACAGCCTTGGGAAACTGCTGTGCTCCCCTATTAAAGTCAGCCAGAGTTTTGTTGTCCACTTTGCTTGTTTACAATGCAGTGTATATATATGTATGTGTGTGTATATATAAAGCTACATAGTTAGTTCTTTCCAGAATCAAAGCTCAAAATCTTTCTTCTGAGGATAAAGTACAAGCCTTGTAATACAAAACTAACTGACTTCCATGAAAATACATCCCTTCTTACCTTTAAACCCATTATACACTTAAAGGCTGTAAAGCCCTAGTGGACAAATATGTTTGCTCCAGGAACTGTGGTTCTGGTGTTTATATGAAACAGCAAGCATGTGCTTTGCCACAGATACTTGCTTCAGGTTTTCCTAGACAGAAATGACTTTTTTTTGGAGGTCTTTTACAACCTGAATGATTCTGTGCTTCCGTGATTCTAATGCCAGCATTACTCTAGTAATTGTGATTTCGTATAAATTGTTTTAAGCTTTGTTCATTTTTGCCTTTAGCCTTTCATTCTCCGCTATCCCAACAGTCATCCCAAGGAAGCACAGGCAATATTCTCCTTAGACTACACTGCTGTGTGTCATAAGTGTTTTGAAGATAAAAGAACTTTCCTCCGAGCACAGAAATACTGTCTGTTAGTTTAAAAGTGCTCAGGTGGAAGCTCAGGGATGTTTTATGTAGGCAGGAAAAGTTGCTTATGACAAAATTCCACAAAACTCTATTTCTCTGTTTTCACAGTTTTCCACTGGTGTTCTTGCACTTATTCCACACCCCAGTGGTGCTGTAGGTGCCAAACAGGATTGGGACAGAATATGGGAGAGCTGAACACCACCTCTCCTGCTTTATGAAATACCTCCTTGCACGGCACCTTATTAACCCCTGAACTGCACTGACTCCCTGTTTTCACATAAATTCCTAATATGGAATATCCTAGTGGCATTAGTGCAGCTTTATTTTGCCCTCAAGGCAGTTCAGCAACGGAAAACATCTAAGCAAATAAAACTTCCTGATCCCAAAAGACAGACAGTCCTTGGTAGCTCAGTGGAAAGCCCAAGTAAATTAAGTAGGAGTAGATTATGACTCCCTGACAAAATGCAATAGCAACTAATTGCTTTTTGTCCTGTTTCAAAGGAGGGGATTGTACAGACAAAAGCAGAAATTGTATGAACAAACAAAATCACTACTCAAACTACCCTCCACCCCATTCCCACTGTGAGTCAGTTTTGTGTGTCTTTGCATGTGATGAATTTAACATTTTCCTAATAGTCTGACAGTGCCGCCTGTTCACGTGTACGCAACCAGGAGAGCTGAGGAAATAAGGGTTACTGCTGCTTTCAGTCTAAGCTGGGATAATGCTTGTAAAACTGAACATTCATCTCCTAATGGGAAACTTTCATTTTAATTCAGGTTTTGTGGCTTTTCTAAGCAAATACAGGGAAAACGCTGTGTCCCTGGAATGGGCTCGCAAGGACCAATCGGGCCACGTCTGTGACCTCCCGAGGGAACAATGTCATGATAAATTTATTTAAATAACTGCAAATCTTAGAACCTAAATATGGAAGCATACACAAGGGATCAGGTGCTCAAGATGGGCTTCCAAAAGAGAGTTACAGAAACTGTCTGTTTGGGGAAAAGCAGCAACAGCATCTCTTCTGTGCCTCATTTATTAATTTTCTAAAATGTACCTGCCAAAACTTTAAAAATAACCCCCTTAATCAGATTATGTTAGTTAAGAGATGAGCTACGAGGTGGTTTTTCTTTGTAACAACCATTTTTACTTTATAATGCTGAGAAGACGTTGATAAAGGAGTGTTGGCAGAAACAAAGATTATGATACGAGAGATTAAAAAAAATCCTCAACAAAACCTGCATCTGCTGCATTCTATTTCTGCCAGATTAATTAAAAAGAATAGTCTTGGTTTTTAAAGAGAAAGAAAATCTGCATTTTGAGAGTCAGTCAGCATAACATATTCTCTGACACTTTTGGAATGATGAACAATAAGACACTAAGCGAGCTTTGGACACTGCAGCAGAAAACGTGCTGATACAATGGGAGAGCCGAAAGAGAGGTGGGGGGAGGAAAGAAGGCAAAAAAAAATATTGGCTTTAAATGCTGGAAAGCAGGTCTCTGCTTCTCATCCTCGGCATAATAGCCCTCACAATACACCAATTTCGAAGCGGCGCCTTTTCAATAGCAACACAACTTTCATTTTCGCCGCAGGACGCCACAGGCAATCCCGAGTTTGGAATATGTATGCCGGTCACACGCAAACACACCACAACGTGCTGGAAAGCTGCCACTTGTTTATGACTTCCCAGCTTGTCCGTGGCACGGGCTCAACGTCTCAAAGCAGAGCTAATATTTTTTTCCATATGTATCAAAATACCTGTGGCCTTTCCGTTCATCTGTGCGTGTTAAAACCCCTCCCCGTCCCCTCCTTCCCACCCAGCTCCGTGCTGGGAAGGTTTGCAGGGGACGAGGCAGCCGTGCAACAGTTTAAAAGCCTCAAATTTGGTTACTCAGATGCTGCTTCTGCTCTCACACACCACAAATCATTCTGTTTGGGGAATGAAGAGACGGGGAGAGCAACGGGAGGAAGGATTTGCAGGCGGCTGTGCAAGAGGACACACGCAGGCTCCGGCCAGACTCCACACAGACAGCATCACGTCCGCTGTGAGGGTTTGGCTCCTTCATTCTCCCTCTGCTGCAGCACATCTCCCAGCCTTTACTGATCTGGTGTCAACTTGCCTTCACACATCCAGCTCAAACAGGAACACGCCATACTCTGCAAGGGAGTTGCTCCTGGCTGCCCTGCGCCACGGCAGGGATTTAAAACGGGCACATGCCTCTCACCAAACCCTCACATTTCCCCAGTAAAATATGGGACCTGTTTAAAAAGGACCTAAAATTCACTGCCCATCACATTTATATTTTAACACCTGTGTGCTGTGATAGAGACTTCAGTCCATTAATCTTTCTAGTGTGACACCCTGACAAAGCAGTTTCGTTGTGAAAAACTGCAATTGTTTTCAGAGCAGTACCAGTTCTTTTCCCTCAGTGGCCCCATGGCTGTGAGAAAACATTTGGCATAACCCTGAGAGTTTATTTAGCATAACCCTGAGAGTTTATTTTGAATAACCCTGAGAGTTTATGTAGCTTGCAGAACACTGGCCATCCACTTTCAAACCAAAATGATGGCTTGTCAATTAATAATTTAACATTCAGCACTCATCTAAAGCCCTGCATGCAAACCAGCTGAACAGACTTCTCCAGCAATGAGGGCCATGGCCTCTGCTCATTTACCCAGTTGTCACAATATTTAATATTCAGAGAGTGACAACAAACAAATGCAGTGTGGACGGGCTGTGGCACTTCAGTACAGCGTCTTAGGATTTTGATCCAGTCCTATGAATATCCACATATTTCCCATATACACGGCTGAACCTGCCTGATCTCCACCTTAAGCCATGAGCCAATAACCCGCATGACTTTACACACTGAAACAGAAGCGAGCAGGGCTTCAGCTGAGCACACACCCACCCAGGGGCACCCAGAGGAGGTTGGTGGGTGTTCATGGAGGCAAAAGGCTCCACGGTCTGTGTTTTATCCCTGGGCTCCCATAAAAAAATGCTTCCTATTGCATACAGCCCTCGAGGAGACATTAAAGCAGGCTCTCGTAGGAACAAGGACGAAGATCACGCATGGAAAAGTTCTGTGCGCTGTTTCCAGAAACACCGGATTCGATGTAATGGTGTTCGAGACGTGCAGCCGAGGAGGAGGAGGAGGAGGAGAAGGAGGAGGAGCGTTTTAAGGAAGGCTGGGGCAGCTCCCCCTGCCAATCGCTCGGTAAATGACCTGTCAGTTTGATGCAAGCGCTCTCCCTGCGACGCCCAAGCCGGGGCGGGGGGCAGGGATGGGGAGAAAGGAGGGGAGGGAGGAGAAATTGTTCGACAGAAGTATTGTAATGACCCCCAGGGAGAGGTCACCGCGGCGCGGGGTGATGTGCGGTACCCGGG